AATGTTTGCGTTGCAGCAGCATAAAAAGACAAGGCATTGTATTAGAGAAATAAACAGACAAGAAACAAACAATAAAAAAAATGTACATCTCAAATAGAAATAAAATAGCATTTAAAAAAGTTTGGAAAATATACACAAAATATAAAGCAGGATATTATATGTGCATTAATTGTACAAGGAATGGAATATTAAATATTAGATTGAATATAAATGTAAAATGTACAGTGGGAGTTTAAGTCCAGTAATGATGTGGTGAGGGCCTTCATTAATAACAACAATAATAACAATAATGGTAAGTGTGTGCAGGTTACCGTGGCAGCTGAGGGATGGCGAGGGCCTTCAGCGTGCTGACGGCCTCGGCGATGAGCAGCATGGCGCTGCCTGTAACGTTCTTCTCCCCTGCTGGTTCCTCCACCAGCTGCACCGCCCTCTGCAGAACTGGGGAGAACGCCCCCTGGTGGCCGGAGCCCAAACTGCGGCACAGCAGCTTCAGGCTGTACAGCGCCGTCTGCCGGTTGATGGCCGTCTCCTGCTCAGGCTGTTCCTGCTGCTTACCCACAATGCACAGCAGGTCGTCGATCAGCTGCAGCAGCATAGTGACCTGAGACACGGAGGAGAGACCATTTTTTGGGTTGGTTTTAAAGCATTAACTTCAAAATCTGACATATCTTTTTTTAACTTGGTTTCCAAAAAGTAATCTCATATCTGTGTCTGTAAATATGTATATGTACCTGCTGTTCGTCCCACTGCGTGCGGTGCTGCAGTTTGTTGTTCAGCAGCTCCATTGCCTTTCTCCTGACGGATGGTAGGCGATTACCCATCAGCCCCTTCATCACCGTGATGAACGTATCCGTGGGCAACAGGGAGTTCACCTGGGGACAGACACAGCGTTAGCTCGGATGCTAACGGCCACTAGCATCAGGGGGGGAGAAGTACTGGAAGTACTACTTGAGTAAAAGTACTCAAATATTGTACTTGATTTATAGTAGAAATACTCATATCTTGTACTTGAGTTATAGTAGAAGTACTCAGATCTGGTACTTGAGTAAGAGTAGAAGTACTCAGATCTGGTACTTGAGTAAGAGTAGAAGTACTCAGGTCTTGTTCTTGAGGAAAAGTAGAAGTACTCCGATCGTGTACTTGAGTAAAAGTACTCAGATCTCTAATACGTACAGTACTTGAGTAAATGTACTTTGTTACTTTATAATAATGAAGTATTGTTGTTGTTACGTTATAATAATAATAATAATAAAGTATTATTGGTGTTTACTTTATCCAGCAGGTCGTAGGCCTTGTTCAAAAGAACCCTCCAGAACTTGCCGGTGGGTTTATCTGCGTTCTTCTCCACGCAGCGAGCGACGCTGTTGATGTAACGCAGGATCTCCTCCAGCAGCCTGAAGCGCACGCACACACACACACACATCAACACATGCTCCCCCACTGCATCATGGGAAATAATGCCTCTTATTTAAGTATTATAATGAAAGGAGAAACACGTACTTCTGCTGCAGCGGCTGCAGAGACGCGTCCTCCGCATGTCCTCCGTCTGCAACCTGAAACATGGCAGGAAAAAATATATACATATATTTTATTTAAGCTTTTTCCTGTTGTGTGATTATTAGAGCTCTACAGAATTGAAATACTACTGTTTATGCACCACTGTATATGGAATACACACATTTTTACATATTTATTGCTGTATACTATAGTAAAATGTGCAAATGTTTACTTTAACTCCTTTTGTTTGTATAAATATTTTATTTATCAATTCAATTTTTGCTGTTGTAATTGTTATTAATTTAAAATGGAGCAAATGTCACAATTACCAAGGGAAATATAAAAGCATTTGGAGTATTGTCTTGAATTTCTTTATTATGACTAATACACTATATATATATATATATATATATATGTATCTTAAAATACACATATTTCTTGCTATAGATAAATATATATACCTATATATTATCGTACAATGAGCACCTTTAACTTGTCTATGTCAAATAAAATATTTGTATTTGCACTTGTACTAATAAATTAAACAGGGTACAGATATTTATATGGGGATGATAAATTAAAGTTAAAGGTCACATGTCATGGCCATTTCCACTGATCATAATTCCATTGTTGAGGTATACTAAAATAGAAAAATACTAGGGATGTTACGATACCAAAAACTCACGGTACGATAATATCGCAATAACAAGTCCACGGTACGGTATTTATCGCGATATTGAATAATAAAGGGAAGAAGAAAAAAATTCATAATTTCTTTTTTTCAATAAAACATTTTTTTACTCGGAAAATGTTTCTTTATTACATAATAAATCTGATTTTTACAGCCTTTTTGTAGGACAGTAACAGACTGGAACAAGAAAACCAGTGTTTTTGTACCTACTAGTACTACCAAACAAAGTAAGCATTTTCTTTATACCACTGCATCTCACAAATAAACAAGGACATTTAATAATCAGACCCTGCAATAAAATACATCAAGTTTCACTTTAGTTTTTTAAGTAACTCAACTCAAACTCACTAGTCACTCACTCATCATCATCACACAGGTTTTTAGGAATATGAGAATGTCCACAATTCCAGGTATTTATAAGCTGGGATGTTTGGGCATTTACAATATCCCCTGCTCTGGAAAAAACTCTCTCGCTTGGTACTGATGTTGCTGGGACACCAGTGGTCGCGTTAACCGAATATTTTATTTAACAAAATCTGAAAGCAGTCTTTCATTTTGACAGATTAGAACAAACTCGGAACAGCGCCAACGTTTCCCCGCAGCGAGGCTCTGGTGTTATGCCGTGTTATGCATGCCCTCCAAAAGGAAATGATATAGTTTCCAAACCGTACTTTGCCGTACAGATCAATACATGTCTGGGAGGTTTTGCTTTACGCTGTGCGCGTCCCGCGAGGTGCATGCACACACGGCATAACACCGCCCCCCCCGTTGACAGTTCACGAGCATGCTCTATCGTGAACTGTTCAGACCCGACGGGTAATAAGGGATTATAACGGATGTTTTACGATCCTGTCTGTCAAAATGACGGACAGCGAAAAAGTCTAACGCCAGGCTTATTGACATGGCGAGATATAAATATATGGTTGGTACTTGTCAATGTCTCTAGGTGTGTAAATGTAGCCCTGTAAATACGATGTCCTTTTGTGTTATCTGTTGTTTTATTTTCATTTTGTAACCTACTTGCTGCCATGTTGGACAGGTCTCTCTTGAAAAAGAGATCGACGATCTCAATGGGACCACCTGGTTAAATAAAGATTATTTTTTTAAAAAGTGTTTAAAAAAAATAATATATTTTTTTTTTAATTAATTTTTTTTTTTAAATCGCGGTAGATGTTGTCAGTCTCACGACGGTATTGGGAAGTTTATTTACCGCGATACCGCGATATTCGGTATATCGTTACATCCCTAGTTAGTACTGATTTTGTCAATGAAGTCTTGGGGCTTTAAGGAGGGTATGAATAATGACGTTGGTCCTCAGTTGGAAACAGCTGTCATGGTCTGACAGAAAGGTAACGCCTTTAGTTAACAGATATTGATTATTTTAAGGTGGCTAGCAGCAGGACATTGCTCAGCCTCCATTCTTCTGAAAACTGGGGTCCTGCTGACCTTCATTTACTGTAGCCTGTAGGCCAGGGCTATTCAACTACACATTCAGTTGGACCAGATTTTATAACTACAAAATTCAGCTGGGCCAGACATTCAGCGGCCTGTA